CGCATCATCTACCTCCAAGCCTTAATTTTTTTTCTTCTGCTCTTCCTCTTCTTCCCTCCCTTTCGCCCAATTTCCCTTCCACTTTTCGTTTCCTCCCTCCCCCCTTTCTTCCCTCTCTACTTCCTCTTTCATCCTTTCCCCTCTCACCCCATTTCTCCCCATTTTCTTCCTTCTCCCCATCCCCCTCTCCCTCTCCCTCCTCTCCCCCCACCCCATCTTCTTCCTTCTCCCTATCCTCCCTCTCCCTCTCCCTCCTCTCTCTTCATCCTATTTTCTTCCGATAGACTCATCCACCCCCCCACCCCCCACCCCTCTCCCCTTCCTCCTTTCCCCTCACCCCATTTTTTTTCCCCAATAGACTCTTCCTTCCTCCTCCTCTTCTTCTACCTGTCCTCTCTTTTTCCCCACCCACTTTTTCCCGTCCTCTCCCCTCCCCCCTCTTCACCTAGCAAATACTTCTGCCTCTCCTCCTCCTCCTCCCCACCCCTCCTTCCCTCCTCCCTTCCCACCCTCCCTTCCCTCCTCCCTTCCCACCTCTCCTCCCTCCCTCCCTCCCCTCCCTCCTCTCCTTCCTCCCTTCCCACCCCTCCTTCCCTCCTCCCTTTCCACCTCTCCTTCCCTCCCCTCCCTCCTCTCCTTCCCTCCCTTCCTACCCCTCCTTCCCTCCCCTCCCTCCTCGCCTTCCCACCCTCCCCTCCCTCCTCCCTTCCCTCCCTCCTCTCCTTCCCTTCCCACCCTCCCCTCCCTCCTCCCTTCCCTCCCTTCCCTTCCCTCCCTCCTCTCCTTCCCTCCCTTCCCACCTCTCCTTCCTCCTTCCCACCTCGCCTTCCCTCCCTCCCCACCCCTCCTTCCCTCCCTTCCGTCCCCTCCCTCCTCTCCTTTCCTCCCTCCCCACCCCTCCTTCCTCCCTTCCCCCCCCTCCTTCCCTCCCTTCCTACCCCTCCTTCCCCTCCTTCCTTCCCTTCCTATCCTTCCCTCCTCTCCTTCCCTCCCTTCCTACCCCTCCTTCCCTCCCCTCCCTCCTCTCCTTCCCACCCCCCCTTCCCTCCCTCCTCCCTTCCCTCCCTTCCCTCCCCACCCCTCCTTCCCCTCCTTCCCTCCGCTTCTCCCTGATTAGGTCCAGACCGTAGCTATCATAGCATCCCGGATTTGCTGTAGATCTGGTTTGGCGATTTAATACACTCCAAGGGGATTTAGAGGGATTTATGGACGCCAGCGGATTAATTGGGATCCCCTCTCTTTGTTTTTCCCTCTCTCCTATTCATTCCCTTTTCCTCCTCCTCCTCGCTTTCCTCCTTCTCCTTTATTCCTAATCGTTAATCCGCTGTCAATGAGGCTAAGGGCATTAGTTTTTCCTCTTTCCTTGAGCATGTTCGTTTATCTGTGTGTTCCAGCTTCTTCCTCTTTCTTCTTCTTCTTCTTCTTTCTTATTGTTATTCGACTTTTTTTTTCTTTTCTTTTCTTCTTCTTTTCACTTCTTTTATCTGTGTATTCCAGCTTCTTCCTCTTTCTTCTTCTTCTTTCTTATTATTATTATACTCTTTTCCTTTTCCTTTTTTCTTTTTTTTCACTTTCTACTTTTTTTCTGTTCTAGTTTTCTCTTTCACTTTCTACTTCTTTTTCTGCCTTCTTCGTTTTTTTTCATCTTTATTCTTCTCCTGCTCCTTCTTTCTTCTTATTATTTTCTTGTTATTTTTCTTCTTCCTCTTAATCTTCTAACTTCTGCTTCTATTCCTCCTCATTATGATAATGATGATAACAAATAATAAGTATTAACATATATATCATAGTTATTATCATTACTATTATCATTATTATTATCATCATCTTTATGCTCCCTTCCCGTCTTTCTTTGTTTTTCCTCTACCTTCTTCTTTAACTTATTCTTCTACATTTCTTCTTTTTTCTTCCATATTTCTCTCCTGGTCTGTATCCTTTATTTCTGCTTCTTTCTCCTTCTTTGTACTTGTCCTGTTTTTATTCTCCTTCTGTTGTTCCCCTTTATTCTTCTCCTCCTCCTCCTCCTTCTTTTCCTCCTTACCCTCTTTCTTCCCTTCCTCCTTCTCCTTCCCTTCCTCCTTCTCTTTCTCCTATTCCCCCTGCTCCTTTACCTTCTCATTCTTCCCCTCCTCCTTCTCCTCTTCCTCCTCCCTTCCCCCTTCTCTTTCTCCTCCTCTTCCTTCCCCTCCTTCTCCTCCTCCTCTCTCTCTTCCTCCACCTTCTCCTTCTCTTCCCTCTTCCTTCCCCTCCTTCTCCTCCTTCTCCTCCTCCTCTCTCTCTTCCTCCACCTTCTCCTTCTCTTCCTCCTCTTTCTCTTTCTTCCCCTCCATCTCCTTCCCTTCCTTGTCCTTTTTCGCCTTCTCCTCCCTCGCTTCCTCCTCCCCCCTCCTCCTCCTGCTCCTTCTCCCATTCCCTTTGGCATTAACAACCTGTCAATTTCCCCGAGACCATATCATTTCTAATATTTATCTGTTTCCTTTCCATTTCCCCTTTATTCTAT